AAAACCACGATTTTCTATAACCTATTAAAACAATATGCCAATGAAATCAGTAAAATTATACTTAATATTGGAAGACTAGTATCGTTTACTACCAGCTTCGTTGTTACATGCACTGGCATTATCACCACCACTACCACTATCATCAGTACAACCACAATTGTCTACCACCATCACCGCTAAACCGGTGCCACCAGCATCATCATTATCACCATTATCTAATACCTGCATCATCACCACTACCCCTGTCTTCTACCGCCATCATCGTTATAACCACTGTTACTATCCTCACTACAATTTACTAATTTGGTCATCTTACCAATACCCAGTCACTCTATCCCTATTATTAGTGTTAATTTAATGGTACTATTACTAACTATAAACAATCACCACCCGTGTCACTGACTACAGTTATAATATTCATATCACCATCACCATATATTTATATCACCACCATCAATATATATGTATCACCACACCACCATCACTATATATCTATATCACCACCACCACCATCACTGCGGATATATCACCATCATCACTGCGGATATATCACCATCAATATTTATCTATATCACCACTAAAATCACTGCGGCTATATCACCATCACTGCGGATATATAACCACCACCATCACTGTGGCTATATCACCACCGCCACCATCACTGCGGCTATATCACCACCACCGCCATCACTGTCGCCATACCACCACCATCACTGCAACTATATCACCACCATCACTACGGCTATATCACCACCGGCACTACTACCACCATCGCTACGGCTATATCACCAACACCACTACCACCACCATCAATGCTGCTATATCACCACCACCCCTGTAACTATATCGCCACCACCACTACGGCTATATCACCACCACCACTACCATCAATGAGGCTACATCACCACCATCACTACCATCAATGCGGCTATATCACCACCATAAAACCGGCTATATCACCACCACCACTGCGGCTATATCACCACCTCTGCAGCTATATCACCACCAATGCGGCTATATCACCACCACCGAGTCTATCACCAACACTGTGTCTGTAATAACTACCATCACCACTACGCCTATATTACACCACTGCCCATACATCACTACCATCGTCAATGCATCTAAATCATGACCACTGCGTCTATAACATGAACACCATAATTCTGACACATACACTATGCGTCACCCCACATTTTCACTGCATCAATATCACCAACCTCAGTGCGTCTGCATCATCAATGCATTCACATCACTACTCGAGTCACTATCAATATTAACACTACTATCTTCAAAGCACCAATATCAAGACTGTTATAACAGCGTTAATAGCACCACCATTATCACCACCACACCCTCACTGCGTCCATTTCACCACTTCGTTAACATCATAACACAGCAGTTGCCGCGTTAATATCATCACTGCGTTAATATCAACGCACCAGTTCCTTTGTCATCACTACAACCATTGTTTCAGAGTCTATACCATTACAGTCATCAACGCTGTGTTGCTGTGTCAATATCACCACCACCATCACGGGCCTCTATCACTATCGTCATTACGTCAATATCACAACCATCGTCACTACGTCATTATCAACACCATGACTGTCACAGCGTTACAGTGTCACCACATCGTTACTGTATCACCACCATCGTCACTGTATTTCCACTTTGGTCACTGTATCACACTATCGTCACTGTATCACCACCTTGTCACTATCACCACCATCATCACTATATCACCACCTTGTCACTATAACCACCATCGTCACTGTAACACCACCATCGTCACTGTATGACCACCACCATCGTCAATGTATCATTACCTTGGTCACTGTAGTACCACCATCGTCACTGTATCACCATCGTCACTGAATCACCACCATCGTCACTGTATGACCACCATCGTCACTTTGTCACCACCATCGTCACTGTATCACCACCATCTTCACTATCACCAACTGGTCACAGCGTCTGTATCACCACTATCACAACCATCATTAACCCCCTGTCCTCACTTTGTCCATCATCATTATCACTGCGTCTTCATCACCATCATCATTACGTTTACATAAACACTATTATCGTCACAATCTTATTATCACCACTGTCACTGCGTCTATAGTACCATAATCGTTAGTGTTACCATAACCATCACTGCGACCGTATCACCATAATAATTGTCACTGCGTCTGTATCACCATAATAATTATCACTGCGACTGTATCACCATAACCATCACTGCAACCGTATCACCATAATAATTGTCACTGCGTCTGTAACACCATAATAACTGTCACTGCGACTGTATCACCATAATAATTGTCACTGCGTCTGTATCACCATAATAATCACTGTGACTGTATCACCATAATAATTCACTACGACTGTATCACCATAATCATCACTACGACTATATCACCATAATCATCAATGCGATCGTATCACCATAATAATTGTCACTGCGTCTGTATCACCATAATAATCATCAATGCGACCGTATCACCATAATAATTGTCACTGCGTCTGTATCACCATAATCATCACTGCGACCGTATCACCGTAATAACTGTCACTGTGTCTGTATCACCATAATAACTGTCACTGCGACTGTATCACCATAATCATCACTACGACTATCAAAATAATCGTCACTGCGTCTATCACCATAATAATCATTACGACTGCATCACCACAATAATCATCACTGCGTCTGTATCACCATAATAATTGTCAATGCATCTGTATCACAGTAATCATCACCACGACTGTATCACCATAATAATCGTTGCTGCGATTGTATCACTATTAGTTACTTCATCTATTTCAACACATCTTCACTACCATCGTCACCGCAACATCGCTTACCGTTGACGTTCCTAAATTCTCACCCACAACCATCAATGTACATAAGTTTGCACCAAGCAGTATTACAGCTATCACCAAGCATTATAGCTATCGCCAAACAATATTATGGCTATCACCAAGCAATATCATACCTATCACCAAACACCATCATCTAGAACCACAAAAATGGATGTAAAATGCAAAACACACGGAGAACATTTATACAGTAACTGGATAATGAGAGTTCATCAGGCTTGATCTGAGGAAGATCTGGGTAACTCCAATTCCTTGGATTAACAACCCTTCACCAGCATTAAGGAATCCCCTCTCCCCTATCCTTCCAGTGCGCAAAGGAAATAGTTAAAAGCCCTTATTACAAGCACATGACACGCGTTTACAATGAATATAGTTTCATTATGGCGACTAGTAATCACTATTAATATTATCTCAGTTCTTATCTTCACTAAAACACCGTTCTTATCTTCGCTAAAATACCGGCTTCCCAATCATGATAATAAACACGCTCTTCTCTAACACTAACCATGATTCTGACTAGATGATTTGTAAGTATTAATATTTCCAATTATACCCTTGCATTAATTACACTTAAAACGCTTTCGGATATCAAACAAGTTTTAAACTTATCCACAGGATAAGTTTAGAACTTTTTTATTAAGTAAAAATATATTTTATATTTTAAAACTAACGTTATATAATGATATTCGGTGTTTCTAGATGTAGTTTTTTCTGCTTCAGTTTTTAAATATTTAAAATTTTGTCTTATGCTTCACAGACATTAGAATTCTGACAAGCAAAGAAAAAATAAATATAAAAAAAAAAAAATATAATGTCATGGAGGAACAACAGCGTATAGGGTTGAAAATAATTTAAATATATTTGATGTGTATTAATATATATATTATATATATATATATATATATATATATATATATATATATATATATATATATATATATATATATATATATATAATATATATATATATATATAATATACATATATGTTTACCTGTATATATAATATAATTATAATACGTATATAATTTATTTTCATAAGTTATGCTTGCCGAATTTTATACATTACTACAGCCGTAAATTTTATTATACATTAATTTGTGCGTACATTATTGTGATATCCAAAATCTTTCAAATATTTTTATATTAATATATTTTTTAATATTTTTTATAGTTTTATCGTTAAAAGTTAGGCTTGTCAAATTCCGATAAAGACGAAATAATATTTCGAAACCATATCCAGATTTGTTTAAAATAACAAGCAACTGTAAAAGGTCTTATGTGTATATATATGGTGTGTATATTACTGTAATATTACTACGAAATTAATTTTGGTTGTACATCTGACTGTTAGTTTACTCATGAACTGTTGAAGATTTAATGTAGTGACAAGAATCTTTAGTTTGTGAAGTATGTGAGGGATTTAGGAAGGGCGTGGAGAGGGTGGTGGGCGTGTATGGGCGGTTATAGAGGGCGGAGAGTGGCGGCAGGTGGCGGGATGCTGCAGAGCGGCGCCACTTGTCCGCTGTATACGGGTTACCTGCTCACCGCCGCCCTTACACCCATACTACCAGTTTTACGCCCATGCCATCGTCCTTACGCCCCTATCACCGTCCTGACGTCCATACCACCGTCCTCACGCCCATACCACCGCCCTCACGGCTACACCACAGCCCTAACCCCACAACACCACCCTCCTGCAATCATTCCCACCCTCACGCCCATACCACCATCCTCCTTTACGCCCTTACACCTACACCACCCTCACGCCCACACCTCAATCATCGTCACCACAACATTCACGCCCGTACGATCAATCTCACGCCGTTACCACCATCTTAACGCTCACTCTCAACACCAACACCACTATCTTCACGCCCTTACCACTACTCTAACGCCCACACGAGCGCTTCCACGCCCTAATCATTACCCTCACTGCCATACCACCACTCTTATGCCCACAGCATCACCTTTGTGCCCTCACGCATTCACCACTGCTCTCCCGCACACCCCATCACCCTCCCGCCCATACTACCAACGATGTACCAAGGAACGGACAACAGGAACAGTAGCATTAAGTAATAGATATAATTAACAAGAGATAATGAAACTCACCCATATATAAGGTCTTTATCTCGTTTGTGTACGTCGGGGACGGAGCCCATAACGTGGTTGGCCGCCACATGGTTGGTAGCTTGTGAATGGGCGTACATGGCCGCGTTGTGGGCGGCGCCGCCCACATGGTTCATGTGGCTCATGAGGGAAGGTTGTAGCGCCGCTGCGGCCGCTGCGCTCCGGTGCGGATCACCGTACATGTTGGCCACCGTCTCCATGCTAGCGCCTCCGCCGTAGTGCCCAAGTCCGTCGTCGTACTGCGGGAGAACCACCACTAACTTACTAACCACCACTATACTACACACACACACGCATTTTTCTCAGCACCGTAGCACAATAAGACACTGGTGGCGGAGAGGCCGCCCACACACTAGCCGCCGCCGCCACCCAACAGACCGACTAAAGTGGTCAGTGTGAGGTGGGTAGGGGCGGCGGGGCACAACTTACCCTGGCAGGTTGAGCCATTTCAACCCAGAGTACTGTGCTTGCTTCACTCGCTACACCACTACAACGTCGCGCCGCAACAGTCACTACACGCCCACCCGCGCACCGCACTGCACCGTCTAGTACCGCGCCGTACCTGCACCGCGCGTCAACACGTCAATCGACATGAGGCGACTGAGAGCGGAGCGGCGTGCGTGTCCGCCTGTCACTGGACCCCAACTGCTGTCAATCACGCCGCCCGCCGCCACAAATGAATGAGCTGTCACGAGCACCGCCCCAGGGCGCTGCGTACACCCACTGTGGGCGGGGATGCGCACACCCTAGCGCCCTCATCACGCCCACTGTCCAGCAACGCTCCGCCTTCGTCCCGCCCACGGCCAATAGACGCCGCCTCTTGCATTCCAAGTTCACATGTACGTTGCTTTTGACGAACCCAAATTTGGTACTTTTTGTGACAGAATTATTAGGGATATATTCATCAGATAAGCAGTGCATTATTAGGAGTGGTCAATGAGTGTGCGTCTTATAACCCTGCATGAAGATAAGGCAAGATAACACAACCTTCAAGCAATGGCAGATGTTGCAACGCTCTGGAGGGATGTTAAGCTGTGGTGAGCCTCCCCGAGCAGTGGCCAGTGAAGGCACTTGTGCTGTGGGTCTGAGGTGACCACTGGCACTCACCTCAACCACCAACCCCGCCCTGTTATACTCTACGAGAACACGCCCACAGATGTACCTCATGCTAAACTGGCGCCACGCCTACACGCACGACGGGAGAAAAAAAACCCAAGACTAGTCCTACCTTGACACCACACAACCACCTTTGTTCTCACCACAACAATAACAAACACTAACCCCGCCCACCACAACACAACCATATATATATTCTCTTTCTTTCAACTCCACTATATATTATACACCAGTTTGAAGTTTCAGAGTCGTGTGTGGGTATATCAAAAAGTATTTTTTTTTTCAGATATGTAATAATTTTTCAGGTAGGCGAAATAACTAAAAAAAAAAATTAATACCTTCAATGACTTTCGGCAAAATAGTCATTTTTTTAATATTAACTATACAAGCCGAAAGAACTTTTAAAGTTATTTTGTAAATTGGAAATAACATACCATCGTGGATAATTCCTCGTCTTGTATATATCACTTTTTACTCGTTTCATTTTTAGGTCAAAATTGTTTTTCATCGATCACCGATCACTGTTTATGATACGCTTGTCCAAGCACGAATGCATGCATGTATATTGTATGCATGTATGTATGCATATCTATGTGTATATATATGTATATATATATATATATATATATATATATATATAATATATATATATATATATATATATATATATATATATATAGATAGATAGATAGATAGATACATACATACATACATATGTCGTGCCGAATAGGTAAAATTGGTCAATTAGAAAGAACTCATTTAAAATTAAGTCCTTCCTAAAATTTTCTCTTATACGTTTAAAGATATATTTTTTCATTTCTGTTAATGTAAAAATTAATAATTTTGTACCAAAAGAACTTTAAAAAACTTACCTAACCTTATTATAACAAGTGCAATTTAATTTAGCCTAATCAGACTACATATATTTTAGATAAGTTTACAATAATTTAATAATAAACAAACACAATGAAATATATTTTTTTCGTTAGGTTCAGAATGATTTTTACTGGATACACAAATTTTCGCTTGCCTTATTCGGCAAGAAGAGCGTTACTATTTAAGCCAAAATCGCAAGTGTTACCTATTCGACAAGACACACACACACACACACACACACACACACACACACACACACACATATATATATATATATATATATATATATATATATATATATATATATATATATATATAATATATATATATGTATATATAATATATATATAATATAAAATATATATATATATATATATATATAAATATATATATATATATATATATATAATATATATATATATATATATATATATATATATATATATATATATATATATATATATATATATATGCAATAAGATCACAGTAA